GAAAATCTCGAATCGTGTACATTTTTCATTAATTATATTAAATATTTTTTTTCCATATATTTTTATTTTTATGTGTTTCTTTTTAAATAATCTCTAAAAATACAAAAATTTCGTGCATCACAAATCTAAAGTTAGTTTTGTGTTTACAGTTAAGCATCTCATTTAAATGGTCATATGCTAAGTCTATAAAGCTAACTTAAGTCAACTCCCATACTCCAATCCAGTAGCATTTGAAACTGTACAACATTTTGTTATTAATTATTTTGAATGTTGACTAGGTTTATGAGATTCTACACCCGGTTAAATACACCATATAGTTTTAAACCGTACATCTACATAAATAACTATCCACTAAGCGCACATACATATGGACGTGTGTGTTATTATATGTAGATCTACGGTTAAAAACTACATGGTGTAATTCACTAGGTGTAGGTTCTACAAAAATTCAACCCCTAAAAATTATATTGGTAGTGATAGGGACTACAAGTGTACAACCAAGTGATTGTTACTGTGTTAATTTTATTAGATGCATTGAATTGTTCGTTGCATGCTGGGAAAATAATCGACAATATAATTATGCAATATTTTTTTTGCTTATTATGATGTATCATGAAATTTTGACTAGAAAAGTTCTTTATTTCCATTTTTTTATGGTCTTTCTGCAATTAATAATATAAACTATTCTAATTTTGACACCTTAAATTTATGATATAAACGAAATATTATTTTGCATTAATTTTATTCTAATCCCGTGCATCGCACGGGTGAAATTACTAGTAATTAATAAAAGTGCCGAATTTTTTTTGAAATAAAAGTGCCGATTATTTATAAGCTAAATTAAATGTTGAAATGAACTACACTAAATCCACCAGGCGGATTTGGTGGGGATTTAGTGGAAATGAATACTTATAATTTTAAAATCCGGATTAATTATATGAAAAATGCTTGAATATGGTATATATGGTATAAATAGTAAAATAAGTTATATTAGGATATAAGATATTTAATAATTCATTGAATTGAATTGAATTTAAATTGACACATGTGAAATGAGTAGGATGTCTACGTGGATGCCTACATGGACGCCAAATGTCGTAATTCTAGGATATGAGGGTTTCAATTTATATATTATATAGATATAGATTTATTAGGAAAAATTATGGTCACCTCTGAGTTATGATCAAATTACGAAAACCCCTCTCGTTTTTGGGTAATTATAACCACCACTCAACTATGTATTATCTTACGAAAATACCCCTCTGGAGGTAAAATTAGGGATGTTAAATTGGTAAAATCGAACAAAAATTTCAGTAATTTAATAATTTGCTAAATTAATAGAATTTCCTGATCCCGATTATATTAATTTATAGGTTTAACTGTACAAATCAAAGGATGAAGAACTAAACACAACATAGTGACCCAGTGTATTGAAATCCATTCGCACCCAAAAAACTCAAAGAACCTTCACTTTCACCTCCCTCGAACTCGTGCATCGTCTCGAAAGTCTTGCAAATGAGATTGTATCGTACGACTTTCCCTGGTATCTGCAAAACCAAGAACGAATCCTCTTATTTTCTTCACGAACCAAAGTAAATATTGTAAACGCATAGTAGTACCAATCCATCGGATCAAAATAATCACGGATCATTTCAGGATAAACATCAACAACACGCGAAAGATCGACTCGATACTTGACAAACCACTCCGAATGATCCATCTTCATTTCATATCCATCAAACTGAATTTGCGCCCCAAAAAACTCAACATAATGCAAGTGTCCGCATGACTCACCGATGTAAGAGTTGCTTCTCCAATCCCATTCGTCTGGGATTGGCGGCATTGGCATTATCTTGAGCACTTGGCGCTCGAGATTGAAATAGCAAGAATTTGCGGTTCCGTTGCTGATCCAATGGATGGCTCGGTTCCAATACACCCCTTTCTCAAAACCGACTTCAGCCATAAACGGGTCGCCCCATTTCCTCCACGGACCTTTCTCAGACGAGTATACCGCAAACTGATATCGGTAATCGCCGGAGTCTAACTGCAATCTTCCGACACAAACAGCTCTGTAATGAGGAGACTTTGCAGGATCGAAAGCCAAGTTCATCCCGCACATTCTCCTCGATATCCCACCTACTCCGCTTATTTTCGGAAGTGTCGAGAAATTCTTGGTTGTGGGATTGTAGACGTAATATCTCTTATTGCAATCACTGGCCGAGTTACTGCAACAGAGAAATAGCCCGTTGCATGATTGCAGAATCCTAACGCCACGTGACTCGTCGAAAAATCCAGCTTTCTAAACGGTGGATTGTTCGATTTGTTGATTGATAAGGGAACGTAATCTTACGAAATATTGACGTTCGGAGAACTTGGCTTTTTTCGTCACCGGTCTCCGACGTTGACTTTTTTTAAATTATTTTTATTTCGGTTTTTTATGCCACTGGCTTCCGGAGTTGACCGGCGGTCAACGCGGTCTCCGACGTTGACTTTTCTTTTTTTTTCCTAAAATTTTTGTATGTTTATTTTACATCTGTCGCTGAACGTTGATCGCAATTGTACTGTCAATCTGTCAGTAATTGAAATGTCGTTGACAACACAATTACTGTAAACACAATAATATTACTGTCAACCACATCAATATTAATTTATTTTTTGGCTTTATTATTTTGTTTGATTTGTTAACTGATCAACGTAATAATATTACTGTCGTTGACAGTATAATTAGTAAAATTACTGTAAACACAATAATATTACTGTCAAGTGTCAACCATATCAATATTTTTTTTTGCCTTTTTATTTTGTTTAATTTGTTGACCGATTAACGTAATAATATTATTGTCTATATAGTAATATTACTGTAAACACAATAATATAACTTTGGTTGACAGTAATATAATTGTCGTTACAATATTATTACTGTGTTTGACGTCAATATTATTGTTAACCACATCAATATTCATTCTTTGGGACCAAATATTACTTTTTAAACGGGCCAAAAAATGTTGAAGAAAAAAAATTCAAAAAATAAAAATAAAAATAAATAAATTTAAAAATAAATAAATAAAAGTCAATTTCGGAGACCGGCGAAAAAATAGACAAAAAAAAAAAAAAAAAAAAAAAAAGTCAACGTTGAAGACCGGAGGTCAATGGCAGCGACGGACGAAACAGTCGTCAAAATTGAGTTAGAGACCAAAATTGAATAATAATTTGAGGTCAAATTGAGGTTAAATTGAATTGGGGTCATTAGCAATACACCCCTCATATAGATAAGAAATAGTGATATGTCCACCCCTTAAATCTTTCTTTGTGATAACCCCCTAGAAATTTTATTCCCAAATCTACCCTTATGTCAATTAACATAATTATTCTCAATTATTCCGTTTTGCTCTCTTTCCATAACAATAATCTAATTCTTTCCTTAAAATCTGCTTCTAAATCCCTAAAATTTTTTTTATTATTTTCGAATTTTATTTATCCATTATTTATTTATTTATTTTTTTAATATTTTTTTAATAAAAATAGATTTTTAAATTTTTTTTTTTATTTTTTGCAAAGAAAAAATTGAAATTCTTTTCTCGACAGATTTACAAAGACGAATATGACTATAGTTGAATATGACTATATGTGACTATATTAACTGTAGTCATATTATTTTTTATATTGCAGTTTTTCACTTTTTCAACTTAACAATTCCGATTATATAGTGTGGTATAGTCATGTTCACCAAATTATATAAAACAACGAAGGTTCCTTATTGTTTACGAAAACAATCCAATCAACATCCACACAAAAAAATCACAATTTGAATCTAGTTATTAGAAGTCAACTTCAAAACGATAAAATAGAACATATTCGAATATGACTACCGTCGTATTCAACAATAGTCATATTCGAATATGACTACAATCATATTCAAACACTACATAAATATGACTATAGTCATATTCGAATATGACAATAGTCATGTTACTGCTACTGTTCAGATCTGAAAAATACAATTTTCAGATCTGAAAAAAAAAAAAAAAAAAAAAAAAAGAGAAATCGAGAAATACATAAATATGACTATAGTCATATTCGAATATGACTAGTAATGTTACTACTTCTGTTCAGATTTATAAAAAAAAATCGAAAAATACATAAATAAAGATAGAAAAATAACGAGAGAGAGGGATGGGAGTTGACGAGGTCTTCATACACAAAATCACCCTGGCATATCTTCACCCCAAACGACCCTCCATACTTCAACATAATCATCAAGGTTGGCGACATGATGTGCAGCACTACAAAAAACATGAGAATGTGACTACTATGTGAATAATTCTGCTGAATGAATCTGCACTATTCTTTAAATGCATTTCATATAATATTATGTGAATTCATTTCAGTCACAACAAAACACATTGAATCAAGTAACGCAAAAAAAAAAATTTACAATAAGATCACAATTTGAATCATATTATTAAAAGTCAACATGAAACGATAAAATGGAACATATTCGAATATGACTATAATCATATTCAACAATCTTTAAATTAATAATAAGAAAAATAAATAAAGCACGTCAATTGTAGTGCAGCACCGTACCACTAAACCAAACCATTGTGAAAAAACAAAAAAATCATCGTAAAAAATATAAACTAATAAAATAAATAAAGATCTTGCAAATAAAAAAAGAATAATGAACATGAATATGTCACCTGACTCCGGAGCCGCCGCTCGAAGACAGAGCCGAGCTTATGAGCCCGGATAGCCTGCAGAAAGTCAGCCAACGGCTGCGATTATTCCTTCACGGCACGAGATTGATCCTCGTGTTCACGCTCATCGCCACTCATAGTACCGCGGCGCACCTTATCACTTCCCTCCTCCTTCCTCGATCTACTGGCGGAACTCTGCACATCGGAGTTTTCCTTCGTCGCCTCCTCTCTTCCGCCGTCTGACTCAACTAAATCGGAGAGAGCTCTGCAAAGAAAAAAAAGAAAAAAAAAAGAAGAAGAAAGAGAAGAGAGAGAGAGAGAGTAAACGTGGGAGAGTGTGTGTGAAAATGAGGAATAAAATTAAAACCCTAACCCATAGGGGTATTTTAGTCTTACCATATCTGATAAGGGGGGTCTCACTAATTTAAATTGGGATTTGGGTTATGGAAAAAGTCTTTAAAGTCAATTGGGTTTAAATCAAAATATTTTCCAAATGAGGGGGGTATTGCATATTTCCCCAATTGAATTAAAGGATGGCATTGGAGTATATTAAAATGTTAGAGGGTATTTTAGTCTTTTACACACCTCTAGACAAAAAAAAAATCGATAAGTTGGTGTCTAAAAGTGACGAAAAATTGAACATGTATGTGTGGAAAAAAAACTTTAAAATCGCCTTTGTAACTCAAAAAAGAAACGAAATACATTTTATAAGTTTTGTGAGGTTTTGATTTTTTTAGAATTTTAAATTTTTTTGGAGGGTTTGTAAGAAGAGAGGATTTGGGTTTGTAAATGCAATTGAAGAAAGTTTTTTTTTTTTTTAATAGTATTGAAATGAGAAAAGAATAATTTGTATAAGTTATATTTTGTTTGATGATAGATAATTTAGTACTTTGCTAATAAAAAAAATTATTTGTGCTATTAATCTAAGAAAAAAATTGTAAATATGATAGTAAACTTGATGGTATTGAAGTTTTAGAAAATTGGTATTAGTTTTAACCGCCAAAAAAAAATTATCTAATAACAACCATGCCCAACGGCACGGAACAACAAAAACCCTCAACAAACAAGCCCCCAGTGCAAAAAACTTCAACGAATAGAAAAAAAAATGTTTTACTACACAAATATAAATATGAATATAAAAATTGCCCTTCGCAAAAGAGCAAGTACTACTATATTCTACACGAGATCAGATACAACTGCTGACAAAATTTGTAATAGAGGACCGCGCGCGCCCCCGATAGATTTGGGGCTTCGGTCACATATGCCTCCACTCCAGTCTGGAATTTGGCTCATCACATCAGAGGTACTGCCTAATGCTTTCACCACTCATAGTTTCGATTTCCCTGACAATATCTTGTGCAAGTGATTTCACAGGCAGCTCGGAATCCTCCAGCACTTCATCCAAGAACCGAATAGTTTCTGGCAGAAGTACCAAATATTCTTCCTTCAACTTCTCTACAAGATATTTCACTATCCTTAATCCCAACACACGGGCCCGTATCTTTTCACTACGAGTTTGCATCAAAACCTGAAATCAAACCAACCAAGGAAAAAGAAAAAAGAAATATGTTAAGCCTTGACATTTATTTTATAAGAATCTCGATATGTAAGAATCACAAACAAACAGCAAAGTATTCCCTTTAATTTTTCTTCTGAAGGAAAATTGCAAAATGAACCGATATGAGGAAAGTGGAGGGTTAATAAGTGGACATATTATAATCACCTCGTGATTCAATGGCTTCCAGAAAAGGTCTGAATCAGCAGTAACAGCCATCTGACCAATGCATGCAACCAGCGAATCATCCACTTCTTCTACAGATGGTACATTAGCATGCTTTTTTAATGACACTGGGGGCTCAACAACAAGCTGCGATACCAAGGCTTTACGAAGATCCTGCAATAGATACGGAAAGCAACAATAAGTACCACCAAACATGAAAAACATAGACAATAACTGAGGCAACTGAAATATCTATGTAAGAAGAGGACAAAATAAGTTTTGAGGCAACAATAACTTGATTTATTACTACGGCAACAATAAGTATAGACTTCTAATGTATTCCCTTGACATTATATGCGGAAGAGGAAAAACATCTAAATGAGATAAATAAGAAAAATTGTATCTCATAAATGGCGATGTAAGAAACTGCACTTGCCTCAAATTCAGAATAATTGAGAAGCTTCGAACTCCCACTATCATAGAGAAAGCATTTATGCAGAGCCGACAGTATCAAAGCACGACGATGCCACACTTGAATAGATAATGCACCATCTTTGTCCGTTGTGGTATCATTAAGCTTTGCCTTCTTCTTCTTCTGGGTCAGGGTAGTTTTTGTATCTCCGGCATCATCGAGACCTCGAACACAGCCATCAAGCAAGTCTTTGAAATAAGGGACAAACAGTGACCTGAGGCCAACAAATATGGTAACAAAGTGATGATTAAAAACCTATAGGAGATCGTCTAGTTTGCACGAAATAAAAAGAGACAAAATAATAAAAACGGATGCTGAAAAAAAATCTTGCAACAATGTGAACCAAGATCCCAAACACAGCAAATGAAACATTACTGGTCGTGCAACTACCAATCGAGCAAATTGATATCTTATAACTAAAGCA